GTAATAACAAGGTAAACTACACCCTTGTTATTATTGTGCTGCCAGTTGAGTCTATGCAGTCCTGTAAGTGCCTACTCAGAAGCAAAATCCACTAAGCTTAAGGAGTCTTTGCAATACAATCTGGGCTTATCACTCAGAAAGCAGCCCCATCCGTTCAGTAAGACAACATAGTTATAGTACAAACTTCGTTCACGTCCATAGGGCTTGATCTCTGATTATTCTACATAGGATTGCAGTGATATAGAACCATCTGGACTGTGGGCGTCCAACCTTTTGGCTTGCCTGGGCCTCACTGGGTGAACAGGAATTGTCTCGGGCCACATATTAAATATGTAATATGGTTAATGTATATAAATAACAAACTTCCTTTACTTTTAAAATATTTTTTTATTATTTTGTGAGACCATATTACCAGCTGTCTGGATAACATGCAATCCATGGGCCGCAAGTCGGACACAGCTGTTCTAAACACAGGTGTTCTGTCTGGAAGGCCTAAAGCAAGATTGTACTCACATCCAGGGCCCTTTATGTGGAAAGAAGAACTAAACTAAACTAAACTAAANACTAAACTAAACTAAACTAAACTAAACTAAACTAAACTAAACTAAACTAAACTAAACTAAACTAAACTAAACTAAACTAAACTAAACTAAACTTTATTCATAACTAAAGACAGACAAGCTTGATTCTCTTGTGTCAAGTTTGTAGATCCTGAGCCCCACCCTCCTAACCAGAGATAACTCACATTAAGCTCACTGGAGTAGTAGTGATTGACAGACATTTGGAAAAAGTCAAGTGAACACCCATAGAATATCGCCACATGCCTTCGGTTGTGTCAGAAGCGGAGTTAAATTTTAGCCCAGCTAGGAACAACTAAAGAATCGGAAGACCATGAGTTCCAGTGTGGCCTTAGATGCAAAGCTCTCGGGGTGACCATGAGCCAGTCCCTTTTTCTTAGCCCTAAGAAGGAGGCAAGAACAAACCACTTCCAAAAGACGTTGACAAGAAAAAAGGGCCTCGACCAGAAAACTGCAGGAACCAGTCTTAGGTAGTCACCAGAAGTCCATGCTGACTGGAAGGTGTGTGAGCATACATGCATGCATGCATATGTTTAAATCCACACATGTGTGCACATACAAATCACTAAGAGAAGACAGACTTTTGGAATTATTGCTATGCTTCCTTTTCTCTTCATCCCCAGGTTCTGGGGGGAACCTAATGCTTTATTCCAAAACGCATACCTGTCAAACAAAATCAAACTCCCTTTGAAACTTTCCTATGATGTTGCATACCCAGTGCTGTTGTGCTTTTTAAGTGACGCCTGCCATAACAATCAACGTGCTTATCTTTAAAAAAAACAACAGAGTATTTTCGTCTTTTTTATAACCATTTGCTTCATAAATACTCCATAAAGACAGAGCAGGCATAATTAGCAGTGTTTACCAACATATGTCACCCATGCCACCCTGGAAGCCTTTTGATACTTTGGGGCAGGGAAATAAATAGAATATGAGTAATTAGTTTTAAAGCAAAGCATTTGAAATGGAAAACTTATAGGTAAAGCCTAATGAACTGCAGAAGAGGGTTTTTTTAAAAAAAGAAATAATCTAATTTTTATATGACTTGGTAGGTAGCAGAGGGAGACATAGCAATATTTTACTGCCGAGAGAATAAATTAATTAATACGTCTGTAGCAACCAACTGCAGTGGCTCCATGGTTGACTGCATTTAAACGAGATATATGTATCAAGCCTCGCCGGTGTTGTTAACAAGAGTGATAATAAAGATGAAAAGGATAGGAAAGATAAAAAGATTGGCCCGTTTGTATTCCTTGCAGGAGCCATAAGAGTCTGCTTAGATTATTTTTTTAAGCAAAGCCTTGCGTGATTACACTAACCAGCTGAGTTCATGAATCAAGGCTGCTCCTACTTAGAACAACAGCACCAATCAGAATATGTATACCCAGCTGTCTGTCAATATAACTGCATTGGTCTATACATTTATGCAATTAGTTTAGATGAATCTACATAAAGTTTATCCATAGAGGCGAGACACATGTTTTCTCTCTCTCTCTCTCTCTCTCTCTCTCTCTCTCTCTCTCTCTCTCTCTGTTTTCTCTGTCT